AACTGGAGTTACAAATGAGCCTACATGTTGGTACTGGGAACTGAACCCAGGTCCTCTACAAGAGCAGCAAGTGCTTGTAACTGTGATGCCATTCCTCTATCCTTAATGTATTTTATTTTGTGTTTATTTTTCTGGTTCTGGTATTCTGAAACAGGGTCTTCCTTCGTAGCTCATTCTAACACTGAACTGGTTATCCTCCTGGCTCAACTTCCTGAGTGCTGGGATTACAGTTATGTGTAACCCTATGGCCATCTAACTAACTAAACTTTAATTCCAAGGCTGACCTTGAACTCTTGATCTTCTTGCCTTATAGCTTCCAGAGTGGTAGGACTACAGGTACATGTTTCTACCTCAAAATAGAAAGTAAAATGGGGACTGGGCATATAGCCTGGTGTTAACATGATTGCTTAGCATGTATGAGGCCCTAGGTTCAATTCTCAGTACTACAGACAGAGTGTTGTTCTCCAGTTATCATCTATTACTTGTTTTATTTCCACCCATCCCAGTACCTATCATAATGGGTAATTAACTATGAAACAGGTATTCTATGGGATTTCTAAATCCATATATCCCATAGTCATGGATTCTATTAGTGAAATGAGGATTTAAATACCTTTAAAATGCCAGAATGTCTTGTCAGCTACATGGTGAGCTCAAGACCACCAGTCTTGACTGCATGAGACTTTTTTTCAACAAAATAAAACAAAACCATATACTTTCAAAAAACTCTACCTGTATCTGTGGAGGTGGCTCAGTGGTTAAGAACTCCTGTTCTTGCAGAAAACCCAGGTTCGATTCCTGGTACCCACACGCAGCTCATAATCATACATAACTCAAGTTTCAGGGGATCCAATGCCCTCTTCTGATCTCCTTCCTCTTCCCCTCCTTCTCTCTCTCCCCCCTCCTCTCAGCTAGCTTTGTTATATGGGAATAGTGACACCCACAGTGGGCTAGGCTCTCTCCCATCAGCCATTAATCAAGAGAATTCTTCACTGGCATGGCCATAGGCCATCTGATCAGACAATTCTTCAATTGAGATTTTCCTGTCCCAAGTGGCTCTAGGTAACATCAAGTTGGCAACAAAACTTAACCAGCACAATACCCAAAGCTATGACTTACCTATTCTGGCTCACACCTGTCTTCTTATCCATCTGTACTATGTCTGTTGACACCTCTACAAAAGTGCGTTTTCTGTTTCTAAGTTATTTTCTTCCTAACAAGGAATTAGTTCTTCAAGGCTCGCTGTTGGGTAGCATAGCAGTTTCCTCCAAGATTAAAACCTTCCACTTTGGAGGGAAGCTGGTTAAGACACGGGAGATTTGTGAGGAGGGGAAACAACAGGAAGTGCTAAGCCAGCAGTTCTCGACCTTGCAAATGCTGTGACCCTTTAAAACAGTTCCTCATGTTGTGGTAAGCCCCGGCCATAAAAATGTTTTCCATTATAACTGTACTTGTGCTGTTATGAACCATAATGAAAATATCTGATATGCAAGATAGCTGATCTGTGACCCCATGTGAAAGGGCTGTTCATCCCCCAAAGGGGTCGCCAACTCACAGATTGAAGACCACTGTTCTAAAGAAAGAAAGAAAAAAAAAAAAACCTTTCTATCCTTTAGGAAAGTCCTTAAGCTCAGTAAGCTAACAATTCATGAGCTTCAAGGATGGCCCCCCATCCCGCACCTGCACCAAAATGACAAAATATACTAAGGCTCTCCCTCCCCAAGCACAATGAAGGTGTAAGGACTCCTGGGAGATGCTCTCAAGCTGATCTACCTAGAAGAGGATCAGACTGGCCAAGCTGCCTTGGCAGAAGAAGCAGAACACACTCAAACCACCTAGAAGGGGTAGAGACCAGCCAAGTCACTTAGAAAAGATAGAGACCAGGCAAGCCACCGAGAAGAGATAGAAAGTGGTCCAGCTGCCAAGAAGTAGAGACCAGCCAAGCTCAGGGCAACTGAGCTGCCTGAAAAGGCCACTCCCAATCTACTAAGCTGCCTGCAAGTTGTACAGTGAGCTCCAGTTTTCATAAGCTGACCCATGCTGGGGTGGGCTTTAGTGCCACAGTTGTCACCCAGTCATTCTACTCCTGTAAGCAATCCCTCACCCATATCCCTGTAAACTAATAAAACTCTGGTTCACCATTAGACTTTAGTGGTATCTATCATGGGCTCCCTGACTGGGGTAAGCAGACATTTGTTCAAGTCTCTCTAGCAACAGTGTCAAATACATGTTTTTGTGAAATCTTATCATTTACACAGACACAGAAATTGTTCTTCTTATAAGAGCTATAGCACTTATAGGATTATAGCACAAATAATCACATAATATTAAAGATACCTACAATATAGGGCCTCACAGCTGAGCATTGGTGGTGCATGCCTTTAATCCTAGTACTCTAGAGGCAGAAGCTGGTGGTGGAACTCTGTGAGTTCAAGGCCAGCCTGGTGTACAGAGCTAGTTTCAGGACAGGCTCCAAAGCTACACAGAGAAACCCTGTCTCAAAAAAAAAAAAATACCACAAACATGGCCTCACTATGTTTCCAAGTTTAGAATCACACTCATACCCCTGGTTCCTTTTAAATACAGGAAGAAACACAGATGTCAAGAGAAAAGACTAATACAAAATTCTTGCAGAGGTGGATATGATGGCACACACCTAAAGCCCTATGACCTAGGACTCTATATACGAAAGCAAGATTACTAATTCAAGATAATTCTTAGCTACATTAAAAATTAAAAGCCAACCTGTAAAATAAAGAAGCTTCAAAAGACAAACCAACTGGGCACAGTGGCTCACAGCTATCATAGATACTGGGGAGGCTGTGGCAAAATGATTGCTACAAGTTAGAGGTTAGCCAGGCCTCCCTGAGCTAAAGAGGGAGACTATCTCAAACAATAAGAAAGAAGGAAAGGAAGGAGGGAGGGATGAGGGACGGTGAGGAAAGGAAAGAAAGGCAGAAATGGAAAAATATATTCAAACAACATCACACCAAAACATTAGTAATACTTGAAGGGCTCAAATAAATAAGATAATCAGTTCATTAGAAACAAACAAGCAAACAAACATGGGAACAGGAAAAGATGTTAAAATGTTATCAAATATAAGAAACTGTTCAAATTTATTAATTAAAACTGAAATTTGAGAGGCAGAGGCAGGTGCATCTCTGTGAGTTCAAGGCCAGCCTGGTCTATAGAGTGAGTTCCAGTACAGCCAGGTCTGTTACATAGAGAAACCCTGTCTCAAAAAAAAAAAAAAAAATCCTGAAAATTGAAATAATAGATGTCAGAGGTGAGGGTGAACACCTTTAATTCTCACACTCAGAAATCTCACACCATGAGCTCAAGGCTACCTTGGCATAAACAGTGAGTTCCAGGTCAATCAGATCACCATATCCAGACCCTGTCTCAAAAATAAAAGAACATTCTCATACATTGATGCTATAAAAATACTCTCGTATGCTTGAAAGATGCACATAGATACTGTGGTGGTTTGAATAAGAATGACCCCCATATAATCATATGTTTGAATGCTTGGCCCCCAATTTATGGAGCTTATTGGGAGGAATTAGGAGATATGGCTTTATTGGAGGAGGTGTGTCACAGAAGGTGGGTTTCAAGGTTTCAATTCCCAATTTCCTGTCTGTCTCTGCGTGTGTGTCTCTCTGTGTATATCTGTGTCTATTTCTCTGTCTCCCTGTCTCTCTGTTTCTTTTTGTGTCTTACTCTGTGTTTCTTCTCTGCGTCTCTGTCTCTGTCTGTCTCTCTGTCTCTCTCTCTCTGCCTCCTACTTGTGGATCAAGATGAGAGCTCTCAGCTCTTTCAAATAACATGTCTTTGCTCTACCATCATGGACTCTGAAACTGTAAGCCAATGAAACATTTCTTCTGTAAGATGCATGTAAGGTGTTTTGTTATAACATCAGATAAGTAACTAAGACACACACCCACACCACACCACACACGGGTGGGGGGGGGGGAGACAGAGACAATATAGTGGTTCACTGTGGCATTACTTGTAATAACAAAGGGGAGAATAACTAAAATGTGTATCAATAGAAGCTTGGTTACATAAAGTACAACAACCATACCATGGCACTGTAAACAGTCATAGAAATGATAATGTAAGTAGGCAAGCAAATCATCAATGAGATGTTACTTAACTTTCCAGATGATTTCCTCTTAATGAAAATTAGAATTATAAAAAAATGAATAAGATTTGAGCACGTACTTCACCCAAGAGCATATACAATCCTGGCAAATAAGCACATGATATGATATTAAACCTCATTAGCCATTAAGGAAATAAAACTAAAATCATGAGATAATGGAACATACTTGTTATGAAAGCTAAAATAAAAATTACCTATAATAACAAGAGCTGCCAGAGATGTGGAATATTCACATAGAGCTAGTTAAGATGCAAAACTTCACAAGCACTTTGAAGAGTGTTTGGCATTTTCTTTTAAAGTCAACACACATTTACCCCATGACTCCTGGGAATGCATGCAGCAAGAAAATGATACATCTCCAAGGCACTGAGCTGGGTAAAAGAATTCAGTCTCAAAAGAAGACATAATACAGAAGGCTAGTAAGATGACTGCGTGGGAAAGGACACTTTCTGTTAAGCTTGAAAACCTAAGTTTTATCCATGGTGTGAGAGAAAAACTGTATATGTTATCCTCTGTCCTCTATATGCACACCATGGCCCATGCATGCCCACCCTCTCCATACCACCCCCCATTCTATTAATATGATATCCTCAAAAGAAAAGAAAAAAAGAAAAGAAAAACTATTAGGACAGAGAGAAAGATCGGTGATATCAGGGACTAGGGAGGACAGAGGTCTTAAAACAAAGGAATAGCAAGAATGAATTTCTCTATGTGCCAAGACAATTCAATATCCCATCAGTGGTGTTAGTTACAAGAATATATTAAAAGTTGCAAGGTTGTGTGCCATACTGTATAGAAATTACAACTACTTTAAAACTAATGAGAACGATACCTTCTATTTCTCGATCTAAAGGAGGCACATCATCTCTCATGGAGAAATCCATAGCAGTTCCTGGGATGTCCATCAAGTCTTCATCACTAGAGCTGCTCTGGAAGCTACTAAAACTCCCCTGTTGAAAGCCTCTGTTATCCATGGCTCCTGTGCAGAAAGACAAACACTGGGATCATCACAAGGAACAATTAGCCCCTGACAGATTTTTCTCTTTCACTGTAGAAAGTACACATCATTGCATAGTAAAAATTGCCAACTTCAGGGCTTATTTCACTTTCGAAGCTCATTATTTCTCAAAGTACTCACACTATGCATTATAAACTCACTACTATTTAATTTGCAGCAGACATGCCCACAGGCATGCACATACAATACACAACAGTTGGGGCTGGACAGATGTGCTTGCCGAGTACCCCAGTTAGGTTTCTAGCACCCACATTCCTCTAGTTTCAGGGGAACCAATGTCTTCTTCTCATCTGTGTGGGAACCAAGCATGGATGTGGTGCATGTACACACATGCAAACAAAGCATTCATTCTGATAAAATAAGACATAAAAATCTAAACACAAAATTTTAAAAAAATACATACCACAGCTACAATCAAGGGTGATGGCTTAAACCTTGACTTTTCCGCTTATAAACCACATTCCCTGTAATCATTAAAAACTGTTATCTTAGTTGTCAATTTGACCTGGATCTGGAATCAACTAAAAGGCAAGCCTCTGGGCATTTCTCTGAGGAATTTTCTTGATCAGATTATTTGAAGTGGGAAGACCCACCCCTAAATGTGGGTGGTACCCTCTGGTGACAGCCCACATTAGGACATGGAAGAAAATTTGGCTTTTTGTCCGTTTGCCTTCACCATGGCTGACAAGTTCACCTATTCTGATGCTTCAAGTGCTCATTTCTTCACTGATACTGGACCCAGCCTCCACAGACACAGACTGAAGACCAGTGGCTCTCCAGGAATCCTCCAGGCCTTCAAAGCCAGACTGGGACGGCTGAGATAACAGCTTAGCCTCCTGTACTGAGCAAATACCAGATTCTTAGCCTGTCAGATGTGAGACAGTCCAGACTTTGCCCTGTGAGCCAATCTAATAAATCCCCTTTAAACACATATTATTCATTCTATTGGTTCAGTCCCTCTAGAACACACCACTTTTCTGCAAAATTTGATACTAAGCCTTTCTCTCCATCATTTCTCTCCATCAGTATTTGGGGGCGGGTGTGATGTTAAGGGTGGGATTCCGGACTTCACACATGCTATGACTGAGTTACAATACCCAGCTATGTGTTTTCTCTGATAGCTGTGTTTTTCTGTATTTGTTCTGAATTTGACTTCAGTGGATTTCTTCAAACAAGTATTTTTTCATTAATTGTTAATTTCTTCCCATTTCTGTAATTTTCAACTAACTTTTAGAGGGATTCAAAATTAACCCAAGTGAAGTGATTCATGCACCTAAACACTTCGGAGGACGGGGGCAGGAGGTTTTGCCATGATTTCCAAGCAAGCCTGGGTTAAAGATTGTCTCCAGAATGTTTTTAAAAATCTACAAACTTACCAAAAGTGACAGAAAGGTACCCATGTATGATTGTTTCTTGGGCCGTTTCTTGAGCTTTATGATCTTGAGTTTTGAAAATTATAGCTCCCATTTTTTTTTTAGGCAATCTTCCACTTTTTCTGATAGAAGGTCTTAGCTCAGGCTAGCTTCAAACATACTATGTAGCTGAAGGTAACCTTGAACTCCTGATCTTTCTGCCTCTACTTTGTAAGTAGATTAGGCCTCTAATAAGAGGTACAACAACCAGATGTCATTTGGTAACAATGGTTATTTTCTGATGTGATATTTTGGTACTAATGAACTCTTTCTTATAATATATTTAATTTAATCATTATGTTTGCATGTAAGTAAAATACTTTTTATGTGTCATAATCCATTGCTGTCACTTTCATGTTCAGATTTCCCAAAATTTGTTCAGCAGGAACTTCTTCATGCTGGCCCCACCTTGCTCTCATTCAAATTCATGGCCTTTTTTCTACATTAATTGTTGTTACATGCATATATACACATACATACATACATACATACATACATACATACATAGAGACGCCAACACCCCAAGCCACATAACTTCTCACATCATTTGGGCTTGATTCCCTAACCTAGGTCAGCTACATGCCCAGGTCTCCTCCAGAAACAACAAATTTTCCAAACAGAAAAGAAACAGCCCCTATACTTTAAATTAGATCTCAGCTCCCATCTGTCAAAGATAAAAGATGCTTCTTAGCCTGAATTTCATTTACCTTAGCTTACCTTTTAAAGAAACCTACCGGACACTGACTATTTCTTATCCAAAGATTTTACCTGTGAAATGCTTTAAGATGTGAGACATTTCAAGTTGCAACAAGATTACAGCAATGGAAATCCCACATCAGGTCTCCTCTGATAGGTTGCAGTTAAATTGAAGTATACTAACATAGAAAATAACCTCTGAACTATGTGAAATCTACATGTAATACATGTTACTATCATATTTAGACTTGAGGATTAGCTCAAAGATATATTACTACATATGCAAATATTTCTAACTCTGAAAACTTCTGGTCTGAAACATTTCTGTTTTTATGTTGTTGTTTTTAAGACAGAGTTCTCACTGTGTAGCCTAGGCTGGTTTTGAGCCTGTAATTATCCTTCTTCAGTCTCATAAGGAGTGAGACTACAGGCATGCTCTATTTTTCTCAAGCATTTTTGACAACAAATATTAAATCTGTACCTACAGATATTATTTACCTCTTCCTCAAACCCCATTCGTAACTTCCTAAGAATGCCACATGACACTTCTGTTGTTGCCGCTTCAAACTCAACAAGAATGAAAAAAAGTAGTAAAAATATTAATCCACACACGGATCATACAATCCCAAAAAGGCATGCTCCCTGCCCTCTTTCCACCCCAACACCAATCTTCCTTTTAAGTCGCAAGTGTCATCAGTATTTATAATTAATGGCTATTTGACTGTAGAATTTGATTATTTTAAATGAACCTACAAAAACATTCTCAATCTCATTAGTAGGGTTTTCTAGATTTCTAAAACCCTCAACTGGAAACAAATGCTGTTTTAGCTAATGAGAAGGAAAAAAAAAAACCAGGCTAACAATGTAACTCAATTTCTCTCTCAATTTAAATTTATTAAATGAAGCCAGGCATGGTAGTGCAAGTCATTAATTCCAGCACTTAGCAAAACTAGGCAGGAGGACCCAGAGTTTGAGCCCAGTATGAGATACAAAAGAAGAACAAGAAAAAAGACATCAAATGCCTGTGGGATCCATATGGTGGATACCTCTGAAAGAAAGCCAAAGAATTTGTGACAGAATCCTTTCCTTTTTTCTTTCCCTGTGGTTATATGTTTCATCGCAAATGTGATTTAAAATACCCAGTTCCAACAACTCTATTAAGCACACAAATCATAGAAAGAAAAGTATAGCAAGTCCAAAAGTAATTTATGTTTGGCTTTGGAATGCATCTCGTAGTTTCAGATGTGTGTGCATACCTATTGTACTGAGAATTCATTAGAACAAAATAATAACATAGGAGAAGACCCAACAAAGGAGTAGCTTGGAAATGTCTCAGTTTCCCCACAGGGACCTTACAAACTCTTTCCTGTAACCCACTGACATAGAACAATGCAGCTAAACTGAACTACATAATATTAACAGCTCCTAAAGCAGTCATTTGGTTCAATGTTTGGATTATACAATGTTTCCTTAGTAAATTCACAGAAAGACAAGAGCCAATGAAAGATGCAGCCAGTAAATCAAGCAAAACAGATCAATGAATAGGAGTTCAAAGGAAGTAAAATACCATCACTTAAGGTAAACATGGTACTTGCCTGTGGATAATTCACTTTGATACAGTACTTACACATACTTTGCAGATATGAAGATGTTCAAAAGAAAAACAAAGCATCAGAATGAATAAACAAAATCCTTTAAAATTGACACTTGAGTTAGGCCAGGTGGTTGAAGCCTATAATCCTAGCTACCCCAGACAACAGGATTGCAAATTTAAAGTCTATATGAACAACAAAGTAAGTTCAAGTCCAGACTGGAAATTTTAGTGAGATGTGTCTCAAGCAAAGGTATTATTAGCATGAGTGGGGTCCTAGGTTCAAGACCCAGTACCACAAAATGAATTAATTATTAATCAATTAATTAGTATTTTTCACTTGTCTTTTAACATATTTTAAGTAAAATACAATGACATCACCTTCCTCTTCTCTTTCCTCCTTCCAACTCCTCCCTTGCTCCCTCACTCTCTCTCACACTAGTTTCTTTTTCATTATTGCTACATACATACATAGATATACAATTATATAAATACAACCTACTTAGTCTGTTGGTTATCCAATGCAAACTGGACAGCCCTAAAATCATATGCACACTTACAATAAATATTATCTTTAAAATTGATATTTAAACTCATGTGTAGTAGAACTCCAAGGCCAAGGATCTTCCCATAATACCTTGTGACTTCACTATGATGGTTTAGTCCAAAGAATGGTATATCTGGAATAAATAAAACCTGTAGATGGCTACAACAAGAAGTCAGCCAGAATCTGGGGCATGCCAGGAATAACATAAGGGAAATTGATTTGTTTATTTTCCCATCTAGTTCTGGGGCTGCTAGTAGAATCTGTCAGGCAATAGAAGGCTATGAAGAGGTAAAATGTTCAGAGTTTTATGTGGTTGGTATTTTTGTAGCAGAACTGACATATGCCCACTGTTATGCTCACAAATTTGTTATGCCTCAAAGAGAGCACATCAGGTTGGCTCCCTGAACCATGAGTGTTGTATCTGCCAATTCATCCAACTATATATCAAAAATGCTTTAAAAAAATATCAGTTCTATGGTGATGAAGTGGTACAATGTTACTTCTTGTTATTACCTAAACAATATAGTGTAACAAATAACGTCATAGCATTTACATTGTATGAACTATCACAAATAATCTAGAGAAGATTGGAAGTGGATTTAAAAAGATGTATATAGGTTGTATGCAAGAACTGTATGTCATTTATATAAAGAACTTAGTATTTTGGGGAAGAGTTCTGAAACCAATTTTCCATAGATATGGAAGAATTGATGTA